TACCTACAGTATTTGACCTCTCTGCAGCCAAACTCATCTTACAAATCTCAAATCTGACTGCATCACTCTCCTGCTTAAGTCTCTCTGGTGGCTCCGCATTGTTCTTAAGGCAAAGGTACAATACTATCAGCATGGTCTCTGTGACCTGTGTGGCCTGGCCTTTCTGTTCAGCCTTGCATCTTACCTTCCCCAAAACTCACTCTACTCCTGCCACATGGCTCTTTTAGAGCCTCCATCATGAGCCTTCCTGACCCAGGGCATTTGCACAAGCAGCTCCCTTTATCTGAAACACTTCTCCCCAGTTCTCCAGTCCAGTGCCTGCTCATCCTGCACAGGTCCACTTCCCTGACCTTCTCCCCCCGCAAGACCATTTGGTTCCCGAGCATACACATATTTGCTTCAGAGCATTTAATACAATTCTAATTAAATCCTTCTTTTATCGTTTTAACTTACGTTTCCCTTTTTGTCACTAAGATCCCTGAGGTCCAGGACCATGTCATCTTGTCCATCATTTTGTTACCAGTGTCTAAAGGCATACCTAGCACAGAGAGGTGCTCAGTAAATATCGGTTGAATGAATTAACAAACGAATGAATAACATAAGAACTGTTATCATCGCTAAGTTATTCCCAAATTTCACCCTTTTATAGAGTTCAGTATCCCTTCGTCCCCTGGAGGTTTTATTCCTTTCATATTGACAACTCTAGTCTCCTTATTTTTATCCGATATTTTCCCTTTTGGAAGCTTTTATATGCCCTGTTTATGGGCAATTTCCTGCTGTTCTCTGCCAGTTGACCTCCAACTATTCCATCATGTGGTTTGAAGCTTTCTTGTCCTTCCAGGCGAGCTGACCTGTCCCTGAACCATATTGGTTATTTGTCTCTGAATGCATTATCCTAACCCTGCTCTTGGCTTGATCTTAACGTGCATTTCCTTACCAGAGGCGAGCCTGCTGTTCATCAGCTAGAGGTTACTTTCTCGCTCGCTCCCTCCCTCCCTGCCTCCTTGATGGTTCGAGTCACTTTCTCAGGCACCTGTTTAGGACATACACTGTGGTGACATCATGTTTTCCATATCTTGGATCTAATCATTTTGCCTGATGGACTCCTGTTCTCAAGTTTGGAATCCACATGATTGCCTCAAACACTTTCCCCGATTTCCCCCATCCCCCGCTTATTAAGGAAACTTACTGTCTCTGTGCTTGGGCAGAGTCTGTGCACAGACAGTTCACTGTTCTGCTCCACGTAGACTCTTCCAGTGCTTGGCATCCTTTCCCATCTTTGAGTGTGTGGTTTATGCTCTTAGCGCCTTCATTTCTCTGTCCCTTTGTTCCGTCACGGCAGCTCTTCATACCGCGCAGGGTTTTAACACCCTGAGGGTCAGATGGGAGAATCTGTTCCCGCATCCTCACGCCACCCCTTCTCCCGAAACGCGTGAACCCGCATATGATTTTGGGGGTTCTCTGAGCTTCTGAAGCTCATCCTTTAGCCCTTGGTTAAGCATCTGTGCTTTTCTGGCACTTTTGTGCCTCTTAGTCTCCTCCAGGATTTTCCTTCCTCCACAATTTGGAAGGAAGAGGAAGAGGAAATTCCATGCACTTTTCTTGGGCTCTGATTTAACCTGAACCTACCCCCACCCACCCCCATTGCATTCCTTCTTGCGATCTCAGGCTAATCCTCTACCACTGCTTTAATTTACCCTCCTCTCTCCTCATCACCTTCTTCCCAAATGAGTCACACTTCCATATTTGCACATTTATTTTTGCTTTTGCTTCATCTAAAAGCAATCACCCATTGTTTCCAGTCACCCGCAAGACCTTCCTCCTAGGGTTACTATGAGGATTAAAAAAAAGTATCAGATGTGAAAAGGCTTTGAAACATTAAATGTACAGTAGCACTGTACAGCATTACAATAATGATGATGGCTCGTCTGTTCTTTGAGGCAGCTCGGTTTGGTCCTTCCTTTCCATCCTTTTGTCACATCCTTTCAAAGCATGGCATCGTCTTTGGCCCTCCCCACAGAGGACCTCCGCTACCTGCCCTTATGAGGCATCTTCTCTGGTTCTTCTTTTACTTGACTCTAGCATGATCTTGCTTGGTCTCCATCCTCCTTTGTCCAATTACCTGGCTGTGACACAATGAATTCCATTATTTCCATTTATCTACCACCTCTGCCTTTCTTGCCTCCTTTTTCTCTTTCCAACGTGCTGGTCAGACCATTGAGCTCATTTAGATTTTTGTCAGCCTGCTGCCAGGTGTGTTCAGAGAAACAGTCTTCACCTTAGTGTCTTTGCCGGCAGATTATCAACACTTTGCTTAGAGTCTCTTTTTCCTTGCTCCTGACCCCACTCTGTTTTCCTTCAGTGTTGAACAGATTGGCAGAGTGTTGTCTCTGTGCGAAGAGAGACTCACCTGCTCGTGTGCCAGGGAGCAAGGAGGACACCTCCTCCACTGAGACGGGCTGTGCGGGAACAGAACTGTAACAGTGATGTGCGCACACGCAGAGCACGTGGCGGTCGGCTGGAGCCGTCCTCCCAGGTGGCCTGCATTTTCTCGGATGGGGGGAGCAGTGGAGAGTGAAGCAAAGTGCTGGGAGTGCGCAGGGTGGGGCCCATTCGTAAGTTTAAAGGGAGTGGGGAGTGGTCAGTGTAGCCAACCTCTGGACACGTGGAAAGATCACCAAACAGTCCCATGTGATGGAGAATCATCAACTTGTTCTGGCCCCAAGTCACCAAGTACATTATTTCTCTATGTTACTAGTGCTTAGATTTGTCCAGGGTTGAGGTTTTACAGAAGCTAGGTGACACAGAAGTAGGATGGATAATGGAGAGAAACATTTTAGAAGATCATGGCTCAAATTAAGGATTATCGGGTCCATATTCAAATAAGAGGGAGGTAAAGATGAAGATGAGAAAACACAGAGGAGCCAATGGACTGGACAGTTTGCTGAGGTAGAAATAATATGTGAGGAGCGGGTAAGAGAGCGAACAGTCTTGGCAGTAAGAAGTGATCGTTGTGAGTAAGTGTGGAAGAACAACGCGTCAGACGTGGGGTAGTTCTCAGTGATAATAAAGGCCTCTGTGCAGCCGCTGGCAATGAGCAGCAGACACGGAATGGAGTTAAGTTCTCTGAAAATGAGGAAGCGTGAGGCTGGATGTTGGCTGAGTCATCCAGAGTGACATTAAAGTTTACCAAGATAATGATGAAACAGAAAACACAGAAGATTTTAAACCAAGTTCCAAAGCCCCTAATGAAAGTGAGTCTCGCTGGGAAGTTGGTAGAAGGCAGAAACCGTAGAAGTTGGTAGATAATACAGCCAATGGCATTATACAGAGTGGAGAAGAAAGAGCCGGCAAGTAGTAAGAGAAGTCTAGAAAAATGTTCCCCTTCCTCCCAGCCCCGGGGGGTGTGGAACTAGGGAGAGGACCACAGATCATCAAAGAGACTGGAGTTGGAGGAAGTCCAGCTGCCAAGATGCTAAAAGAGGTTCAGAGTGGGGCACGGCTCCAAGCCACACAGCCACAAGGAGAGCTGGAAGGAAGATCAGGAAAGCTGCGTTCAAGGCGGGGCGGGGGGGGGGTGGGGGGGGTTGGCAGCCACAGTGCGTAGCATTCACGCTGAACTTCACTTAAACCCCTCTTTTCTTATATCTTACGTTTGCGAATACAGAAAAGAAATAGGCTCTTCTGTGAGCAGAAAAGTCACCAAGGCTGTCTAATAGTCCCAGCAGCCTCATCCTGGTGTTTTCTCCGGAATGAGTTGTTATATTCTTGGCTCTAAAGCTGATGTCAGACCTCTTGCCAGCTGGATTTATGGCGTTTAATAAGGGCATTTCTTGGGTTCCTCTGCGTTGACTCTGTATCAACTATTCCTCACTTCAAAAAGGCATCGTCTGGTTTTGTCTCACACGGCTAAAGAAGACACTGTACTTTTCTTCAGTATTTTAAAGACACACCCAGTATGACAGTTTTCTTTCAGTTTCCCTGAGCAAGCATCAAATTGCATCTGCAGTTTTAGTTCCCTTGAAACTAAATCTTTTAAGTACAGACTTTTTCTTTTTTTTTCAATTTCTCCTCTTTTCTTTTGTGTCCCTCACCATCCTAGAAAAATTGCTCAATGATTCCTTCATGGTATTTACACGTTTTTATGATCCTTTTGTCTAAAGAATATTATATAGTCTCGCTGAGCTTTATTGGATCGAGCTAATAGCTGATGTCCAGGCAGCCCTGTCCCTGTATTGAGGTTATTTCTTTGTGTAAAGTTTTTCCTGGGCTTGCAGAGCAACTCTCGAGCCTTGGCCTTGCTCCAGGGACACGGCTGTGATATTTATGCATTCGTGTAGCCCGTCCCTTCCTCCCTCCCAACACCAGCAACCGATACTGAGATACAGAACTTTCACACCTCCTCAGGCAAGCCCCTCTTGTCTTCCTCTTGCCTCTCTCCTCTCTAATTCCTGCAAAATGGCAAGAGTAAATGTCTATGTGGTGGGAATAATAGGGGAGCAGGGGAGGTTAACACGGCGCAACAGACAGGAAGCCAGAACTACCTGAATCCTGACCCTATTGGCCACACCTCCCAGTAAGTTCCAGGGAAAATATGTATTCAGGGGACAAAGTAAGTTAGCCCCAGCCGCGCCCACATGCTTGCTACTCTGAGCCTCTGCACTCTCGAGCACCGGGCACCCGTGCCTGGCGTTCGGTGTGAGCCTCACAGAAGAGCATCAGCACGCCTGCCCTCTTTTGAGGATTAAGTGAGGAGGGAGGGGGAAGCGATTGTGTCTAGACAGGTGCTCCCTTCTGTTGGGAAACAGAAAGTGGGAAGATGCAGCAGGCCCCGCCTCGGGAAGGAAAAGGGTGATTGCATGAGGTCGGGGGCGGGGGGCACGGGTTCGGGCAGCCTGAGATGGGGGAGGGATGTGGAGGCGGGCGTTTCCTTGTGGACACGAAACAACACAGGCCATCCCACATGGGAGGCAACAATGACAACTCCGTGCTCATTGTAGGTAAAAAACTCGGATACACCTCCAACAACCGAAACTTCCACAACGTGTCTCTGGGGCAAGGACAGGAAGTGGTGGCCGAGGCCACGCTGGACCTCGCTGCCAAGAGAGGCCACTGGGTTGTCCTGCAGGTACGGCCCCCTCTGCCCTGCTGGGGGTCCTTCTTGACCCCATGCCTGTCTGGACATCCACAAATCTCTGGGCTTCTCTGCCCTCTTCCCTGCTCAGCCACCTGTCTTTCCACGCCTGCGTCCCCAGACTTCCTGGTCCTCTCTCTCTGCTTCTCCCGCTCTGTTCTGCTCCCCTCCCTGCCCCGGGTGACTCTCCTTCCCCCCGACCCTCTGCTGCTCCTGCCCGCTCTCCGCTCTAACCAGCTCTGCTTACGGGGAAGCCCGCCCCCACTGTGACGCGCGCTCGGGAAGTCGGCATTCGGCTGAAGGCCATGTGGCCGGATTTTCCAGGCCCCTGATCTCCTCCCACGCCTTCCGTGGACCTTTCCTCTGCTCTCCCTTTCATATTACATGTTCTTCATGACACACATGCCTAGAACATCGCACGTGTGGCTGGAAGCTGGCCCTTTCCTCGAGAGTTCGCGCTGGTGTCTGGAGTCTGGAACACCCCCTGCTGAGTTTCACTAAACACTTAGAGGACGTTGAGGCCTGCCCCATGCATCTCACACAGATGCTGGGCTGTGGCAGAGCGAGTGGCCGGCTCCTCCCTGCTCCTATGACACCTTACAACCACCACTATGCGAGCATCCGTGGCTGTGCAGAAAGGATTTATTATCTGCTGTGTCCTTCACATTTTCTTAGGGGAGGAGACACTCCTTATTTACCTTTTGGCACCCTGTGCACTACCGTGGGCACAGTGGACACTCAGCAGAAGCCTGTGGGCCGAAGGAATCAGTGAGGAAGTCAGTGAAGGGAAAGGGTGACTAAAAAAGCCAGGCCCTGCCCTCCCCTCTGGCTTTGATCACCAAGCACCCGCTCCGTCACCAGACTGCTCATGGCACCACTTCTCACTGTCAGGTCTTCATCCTTAATCGCCCCATTATTTATTTGGAGCCAGCAGCAGAGGGATCCACTGTTCCCTGGGACTCCTTTTCCAGGAACAATGGGACTCAAAGGAGAAAAGGTAGTGACAGTGGGGGTTCCCAGCCCCTCCCACATGCCATAGAGACCCATGTCTGGGCACCCAGCCGCCCAGGCAGTGAACAGAGAGTGTTTCCTCCCCGAGCACCTGCCAGCTCCCCCACATCTCCTCCCCACGTGGCTTCTGAGAGTCTCCAAGAGTGAACTCAGAGGTCGGGATTCCTGGAGCAGCAGTAGAGTCACTGGCCGGTGGGTGGCAGTGCTGCCTGGCCCCGGGCACCCACCGAACTCTGCTCCATCAGAGCGATTATAGGTGAATCCTGTCATTTAATAAATTTTCATTTCAGCAGCCACTACTAACCCTTGCATAGCAATTCCCAGTCTTCAGAGCCCTTTCAAGCCTGCCACCTTTGGTTATTTCCCTATGAAATAAGCGTGGCAAGTATTATTGTTATTTCTCTTTTCACAGAAGAGGAAGTAGCACTCAGAGCCCAGACTGCTGGGGCCCAGGCTCTGTGCTCTGTGCATTAAGGCTCCGCAGGCAGGCTCCCTCAAATCTCTATCGAGGCGCTTTTATCTGCCCATCATAATGAAACATACTGCGGTGAAGCAAAGTGACTGTCCTTACTAAAGGGAACGGTGCATTCTACAAGGCAGCGCTAAGAAATAAATGTAGTTTTAGCTAGACAGACAGACAGGAATCACGTCGGGGGAGGAGGCCTCAAAGCCCAGATGTGCAGCGTGGGCTTGGAGAAGGGGCCTTCCCTGTGCGGGGGCAGCAGTGTCTCAGTGTGTTTTAGGGAGATAAGTTTGGCAACAACTAGCAGAATGGTTTGGAGACGGGGAGAGGGAGGAGAGCCAGCTAGGAGTGTAAATCAGTGCTTTTCAAATCTGAACGCGCACACGAATCACTGGAGGATCTCATTGGAATGCACTGAATCAGGAAGTCTGAGTCTGCGTTTCTAACCAGCGTCCAGGTAATGCCAACAGCACTGGTCCGTGGGCCCCACTTTTGAGTATCAAAGGTTTAAAACATCAAGCTGTTGATATGGGGCTCTGGACTTGGAATGCAACCATGGTTAGACACTTAGAGCGTGGCCTCCAGACCAGCGGCAGCAGCATCTCCTGACAGCTCCTTGGAAATGCAGATTCTCAGGCCCCACCCCAGACCTGCTGAATCAGCCACTCTGGAGTGGGGCCCGAGAATCTTTGTCTCAACGAGCTTCTAGGGGATTCCTGTGCTGGGTCAGGCTTGAGAGCATTCTGCTAGACAGACAGGATATCAGGGCATAGAAGTCAGTGGCAGGGTCTGAGGAGCCCCCATCACTTGGAGTCCCAAGATTCGTGCTGGGATGTGATTTGCTTGGAGCTGAGGCCAGGTCCCACCTCAGGCTCCCTTCCTGATAACTGTTTAAGCAATGCCTGCCTGGGGGTGAGTGGTCCTTCCTTCCCACCAGAACATCCACCTGGTGGCCAAGTGGCTCAGCAGCCTGGAGAAGAAGCTGGAGGAGCACAGTGAGGGCAGCCACCCGGACTTCAGGGTCTTCATCAGCGCGGAGCCCGCCCCGTCCCCCGAGGGCCACCTCATCCCCCAGGGCATCCTGGAGCGCTCCATCAAGATCACCAGCGAGCCTCCTGCCGGCCTGCACGCCAGCCTGCACAAGGCGCTGGACAACTTCGCTCAGGTGTGGCCCTGGGAGGGAGGGCAGGAGGGGACCCCGTCCCACAAAGAGCTGATTCACCCCCGGGAAGAGGAGCGTGCAGCTGGGGTGGGGGTGCGGCCGACAGGGCTGTGGAGCAGTGACCGATGCGGGCGAAATGTGTTCCCTTTGCAAGTGACCTCCACCCAGTGCCCACTGAGGGCAGCTCTCAGTTCCCAGATTCACCAAGGGGGGCCATGCTTAGGGTCTTTGTTTGGTAAGAGAACTTTCTGCACGTCTGCGTGCTAACTAAACATTCCAGGATGGAGAAGGACATATTGCTGCAAGCCTAACTGATGCAGTATCCTAGCCACACACGTACTGGGTAAACGTACCATTCTCCAGCAGGGGGAGGGTGTTCTTGTCTAGATGGCAGCAGCTGACATCTGCATGCATCATGAGTACCAGGGGTTCAGATAACCCAGGGATCAGAGCGTGGGGATCTGGACTTGGGGTGCGTTAGACTCTCAGAGTGTGGCCCCCAGACCCGCAGCAGCAGCGACTGGGAACTTGTTAGAAATGCAGAGCCTCAGGCCCCACCCTGGACCCAGGGATCTGGGTTCTAACAAGCCCTCCAGGGGATTCTAGCACACAGTCAGTTTTGAGAACACTGTGAGACTCCGAAGATCAAGGTGCAAGGTTCAAATGTAGGCTAGTACATGACTGGAACCTCTGTTACTGGGAATTCCAGGACTCGCGTTGTAGAGTATTTATTTAAAGCCAAGGCCAGGCCCCTGGGTCTCCAACTCCATAGATAAGTAACACCTGCCAAGCCTGCAGCTCAGGCCTCTTGCATCTTCTCAAGAAGGTGTCCTTTCTTGTTCTTTGGGGAGTTGCATCTTCCTGGGAAAGAGAATATACAAAGGTGTGAATACCAGGAGGGCAGGGGCCACAGGAGCCAGCTAAAGTCCATCTGCCACACTGGGCCTTGGTGGAGTCGAAGGTCAGGGCTCTGGGGTCTGTCCTCTTTGACATCACCATGCCATAACACCAGTGGGTCTCTGGCTTCACGGAACCCAAGCGAAAACTCTCAAGTCCCAGGCGGCTCATCTAGGTAACCTGAGACAGGCCGTCCAGCAGGACAGCCGATCCAGCTAACCCAACATACACCACCAGGACCAGCAGCCCTCTGGGGCCTGGTTTAACTTAAAATGAGATGAAGACTGCTTGGCAGCAGAGTCTCAGAAGGTTTCACCCAGTGCTTGAAACCCTTGTAGCAAAGAAGTCAAGCAGCCCAGCCCAGAGGGAAGTTTCCACAAGATTCAAGAAGCGAAACTTCTCCAGTCTCCTCCTTTTCCCTCACCTTCCCAACCCAACTCCAAGGCCCCACATCATCTGGAACAGAGACTGGGGGAACACTACCTGCAGATTCAGCATATTTTGGCTTGCCACTTTTGTTACAGAATACCTACCCACTGCAACATGCCGCAGAAGGCAAGGTGCTTTCTTGTCCAGGGCATCTCCTTTTCTTCCTTTTTTACTTTTTTCTAAATAGGTCTTGACTTCTAGGTACTCTGTACCAGAGGTCAAAACTTCTAAATGTTCTAGATTTTATATTCCATGTAGGGAAGATACACTTTCTTAACTTTGAAATCTACAGACTTCTTTAGAGGAGGTTGTAGCTGGTTCCAGGCAAAGACATTTTTGCCCTGAAAAGGCATTGGGACCATATCTCAACTGATGGATGGATAAACAAAATACCGCATATCCACTCACTGGGACGGTATTTGGCAATAAAAACAAAGCACCGATACGTGCTGTAACATGGGTAAGCCTTGAAAACACTGCCAAGTGAAAGCAGCCAGACACAGACGTTCTCGTATTGCAGGACTCCATCTATGTGAGATGTCCAGACTAGGCAGATCTGCAGAGAGAGAAAGTAGATCAGAGGGTGCCCAAGGCTGGGAAAGTGGGGGAGTGGGGAGCATGACTGTGATGTGGTTTCTTTTAGGGGTGAGGAAACAGTCTAAAATTAGATTGTGGTGACGGTCACACAACTCTGCCAATACGCTAAAACCATGGGGGTGTACACATCAACGAAGTAAAATGCGTGGTGTGTGAATTGTATCTCAGTACAATTCAGTTGAAGAATCTTTTCAACTGCTGCTCCCCAGAAACAAGAATGAAAAAACACTGGTAGCACAGCCATGTATGTGCGTGAGATGCCACTGCCCTGTGCGCTTAGGGAGTAGTCAAGATAGAAACTTTAATGATATGTGTGTTTTACCAACATTGTTTTAAATTAAAAGCTGGGGAGGGGGAAGACATCAGGATGCAGTTAGCTAGCTGTATTGAAGGATACAGGCGCAGAGCATCCCCAGCTCTTCTGCCTTGAGGGTCTTGGGCAGAGCCAGGGAGGGGGCAGCAGACTCTTCACACGTTCTATCTCCTAATAATTGATACTATAAAATTAAGCCCAGTAGGATAATTATCATCTGTAGCCATTCTTGGCTCCATTTTCTCAGTCTCCCCATGGGCCCCCGTCCTTGGGCTCATCCCCCTGCAAGCCCGATGTGCAGTTTCGGTTATCTATCAGGCCCTTGCGGAATGTAGCCCAAGGGCTGCTGTCCCTTCCGCAGGTGCTGTTTGGCCCCATGTAGCCGTCTTCAGTAACTCACTGTGGAAAAGAGGGATAGATTTATGAGTAGGTTCAGTGTTCACAAGAGTTTGAACTGTTCCATCCGCTTCCACAAGTGCTCTGGTGAATACCCCTGTGGTTCCCGCTGTTCCTTCAGAGCCCCGTCTTACCCGCAGAAGGGGCAAACGGCAGAACTGAGCTCTTGCTGTCCCTGCTGCCCTGATCGATTACTTCATTCTGACGTTCATTTGCGTGTGCCACTGTCAACCAGTTTCAGCAAGTGTGACTTCTTGTCTTTGTGCTTAAAGGCACTTTTCAGCTGGACTCTATTTTTTTTCAAATGTGTCGTAGGTAAAAATGCCTGCAGAGAGCAGCTCTGTCCAGATAGCAGTTATGAAGTTCTTGCTTGCACAAGGCAGTGACTTTGTCCTCTGTACCACCTCTGACCTTTCACATCCATACCTTCCTGGCAAACATGATACCCAACCAAGGCCCCAGAGTGACCCCCACATATCCAGACAGAGAGACTGTCATGGGTTCTCCATGGAAAAATCAGACCTACCAGAAGCTTAGTCTCTTCTGTCTCCTCTGCTCCTCCTCCCCACATAAGCCAAGTCTAAGGACCACTTCTTGGAAGAAAAGCAGGACTAAACCCGGTCCAGCTATGTCCTGTCTTCACGAGCCACGCCGTTTCCCCCACCTTACGTGCTGCAGCCTGGACCCCTCGAAGCTCTTGCTTCTGCAGCCGCGTGTCCGATCACCCTGCTCAGGGTCAGTGGGCACTTAGGATGTGAAGGGCTCAGCGTCTCTCTGATCCCCGCCTTCCCCCTGCTTTTCACAGCTCCCCCGCAGATGAGTGGGAGTCTTCCATCACACGGGCAGTGATTACAGCTACAAGGTTTGAGCGATGGGCAGGAAAAACACGGCGGGAAGGAGAGAAGTCAGAGCCCGTGCGGTGGGAACCCCACCCACACCCCACGCAGAGTGACATTAACATGACCAACACACCACTCCCGGGGCCCACTCCCCTGCTTCCCATTAGCTGTGCTCAGGAGCCTAATTAGCACGTCCATATGTGCAAACTTTAAGACCAAACCCCTTTATAAGCTGAATCTAAACCTCGGCTCTGATGCCAACAACCCCCAGCCTCTCTGTAAGGTCCCCTCAGACCTGACTCCATGCCTACCCACAACACAACCCCCCAGTGCAGCTGGAGCTCAGACCCCACCAGGACAAAGCAACCGCGCCATCCTAACCCGCGCCCTGGCCTGCCCTGCGTCACAGCAGCTCTGTGCTAACATCGAGGCGACACTTCCTTTCAGGACACCCTGGAGATGTGTTCCCGGGAGACGGAGTTTAAGAGCATCCTCTTTGTGCTTTGTTACTTTCACGCTGTGGTGGCAGAAAGACGAAAGTTTGGGCCCCAGGGGTGGAATCGTTCCTACCCCTTCAGCACTGGGGACCTCACCATCTCCGTGAACGTGCTCTACAACCTCCTGGAGGCCAACGCGAAGGTAAAGTGTCCAGCAGGTCAAGGGGGCACCTCTGAGGGGGATGACGCGGCGTCAGCACAGGGAGAAAGGGGCAGTTCACTGGGGAAGGTCTCCACCCTCCCCAGATGGAGAGAGGAAGCACAAATTTAGCCTGGTGGCCAACCCCAGGACCAGCGTGAGGCTGAGAAGTGAGTACCGCGGTGAGGGGAGGGCCAGGGAAGCTCAGGACACCAAACTAGTGACTCAGTCCCATGTGAGCTGTTCCAAGTGGCGTCCTCCTAAGGCCCCCCAGCCACCCTGCACGCTCCCACCATTGCAGGGGGCTGTGCTGGCAGGAGGAGACCCACACTCACTGGTACAGGTTCCCGGTTTAATTCTGCAAGGATCCACACCTTCTGGTGGTGTATGTGGCTCCTCACATCAGTATGGTCTTGCCAAAGTTAAAGAAACCAAATTCCTGCTGCACCTGGCCTCCATTATTCTCTTTTCTCTCCATTAAAAAACAAAACAAAACAAAAATAACCCTTACACTAACAATCCGTGCTCCTCCATTTAAGGGAATGTTCACACCATTAAGCTTTTCCGGTTCGTGGACCAAACACAGCATCTACAAGGCCACTCTCTCTTCCTTTTGGGAAAAATGAACCGACCAGGAGTGATGCCTCTGCCTCCAGCTCCAGGGTCCCAGGGAGCCCACATGCAACACATCGTCCCTTCACCTGCTGCGCGTCCACATGGCCTTGTCCCGGTGGCTTCCCTCCCTCACTTCAACACCCATAAGCTTGTGTACTGTATTTCATTCATTTTGAACTTTCCAAAGAGACTATTAATTAATATGCTAATTAACGGCAAGGAATTAGAAAAGTACCCCGTTCCCGCTGCCCTCCATTTGACACTGGCGGATTTAAAGGACTCGCAGGTCGAGCCTGACTTCATCGCCACAGTTAGTGACCATGAAAGAGGGAAGGCTTGTGTGCGAGAGCCTTGGTGCCTTACCTCTTCTGGCTCTTAGACGTAATTCCTCAAGCAGCTCTTGAGCTCCCACACGGGCCTGACCCTGCTGGGGCCCAGGGGCACGCAGGTGAACAAGGCCTTGCTCCTCATCTCAGGAACCATCCCATCCCGCGGCGTCCGCTCTGCCTGCACGTTGGGCCGGCTCTGGGGCTGGTGTGGAGACCTCTCCTTCCCCGTCTCTTCAGGTGCCCTATGATGACTTGCGCTACCTGTTTGGAGAGATCATGTACGGAGGCCACATCACTGACGACTGGGACAGGAGGCTCTGCAGAGCCTACTTGGAGGAATTCATTAAACCAGAAATGCTGGGAGGAGAGCTGTCTCTGGCCCCAGGGTTCCCACTGCCAGGCAACATGGACTACAGTGGTTACCATCAGGTAGGGCTCCGCGCTTCCCTCATCATGCGGGACCTGGGTCTTCCTTCCATGCTGCCCCACAGGACGGGAGATGCTCACACAGGGCCAGGGAAGAGCAGCTTAAAGAGTCGAGCTCACATCGAGTGTGGCTCTCAGCCTGTTCAATTTGAGAGCTATAGGATTTCTAGCCTCAAATTAATGATAAAATTGAACTTTTGAGATCTGTTTATTCTTGATGTTCAGTTCAATAATTCAATTGTCGCTCTTTTGTACAATGTCTGGGGCATCTATTTGATTGTTTTCATTCAGGATATTGATAAAACCATTAGGAGCAAAACTTCAGGTAAGAACTTAGCCAACTTTTGGTAAAGTGTGTATCGGTGAATCTAAATATCTCCAGAGGTTCGTGGCCTTGGGGACGGGTCGCTCGTCCTTCCTATTCTCTCTTGGTTGCTGTGAACACAGATGCATGTACACGTGCCAAGCAAACACTCTTAGGGAGCTTTTTCATACTACCACTTTGGGTTTTCATTTATTACTTCAGCTATGCCTATTTAGCCTGACATGAAAATGTATTAAGAGGCAGTTTAAAAAGAAAGCTTTTTTGTTGCTTGACTTTTGAACATGCCTTGAATAGAACTCTTGGAATACCAAACTTAAGGGGAGTACTGGTCATAGGAACATTAACTACAAGCTTTAAAATTTTTTTAATTTCTAAAATTTAAGAAGGTAAGTCATAAAAGTCATTCGATCCAGAAAAACGGCCTATGAGAAGAAATTAAAAATAAGACTCTTGAAACAAAAAGAATTTTTAAAATAAACACTTTGGAGCTTTGGCCAGGAAAATTGTGCAAGAGCGCCCCCTACTGTCTGTGGAGCAGTTTGACAAGAGGCTGGAGCGGGTGCCGGGTGACAGTAACATGGTTTACCAACGTCCAAACAACTGAGGTAGCTTTCCCTTTCCTTCACACCTCTCTGTAACCCGTGAGTCAGTAGCCGCGTATAGGGCCCCTGCCAAGAGTCCAGGAGTGTTCTGCGCACTGGAAGAAATGCAAAAATAAACACCAAATTTGCCTTTAAGGAAGGATGCATCTTTGACTTAAACCAGATGTTACTAACACCAGGAAATCATCAGAGTCAAATTAGGAGCTAAAATTGTGGGATGTTTTCTCGCTGTAATGGAGAGAATGGTAACAGAGGACTCAGTGAACATTCGGAGAAGGAAGTGAACCTTAGACAGTGGGCAGGGTTTTTTAGGGATGGCAGAGGCAGCCCCCTGTAACTGACCACAGAGATGTGTTATTTCTGTGCCACACTGTTTTACTTTATTTTTTTTTAATTCAAATGCTTTCTGTCAGGTAAAGGAACTCGAAGCAAAGCTCACCTCATCCTACAGCGGGATTCGCACATTTATTCTGCATACGTGCTCCTGTGTTCGCGTTCGGGTTTATCATCCCTGACTTAGAGAAACAGAGGGGAGAGAAAAGCGACTTAAGCGGGGAGGGCTGGGTGAAATTTCCAGGCAGGATAAGTATTTCTGACGTACTCTTAGAAGTCCCCCTCCGTGTGGAGGGGCGGGTGTACTTCAGGGAGCTCGGAGAGGAGGTGCAATTGGAGATGGATATAAAGTCAGCTAAGTTTCCAGAAAAAAAATGGTCTCTCGAATGTGGAACTTGTGGAAAACGGATCTGGGATACAAAAATGGACATTGTGAGATATGCACTGATGGGCTGAGCGCGCGCTGATGTGGTCCAGCCCTGGGGAGCCGAGTCCACCTGCAGGGCGCAAGGGGCCCTGGTGCCGACGCCCGCTCTGAGCCCCTGCAGAGGACCAGCCAGGGGGGAGACGGGCGCTCCTTCCGGCTGATTTGTCAAGGAGCGTGTCCTTGACTTTCAGTACATCGATGAGCAGCTGCCCCCGGAGTCGCCATATCTCTATGGCCTACACCCAAACGCAGAGGTCGGCTTCCTGACCCAGACGTCGGAGAAGCTCTTTCGCACGGTGCTGGAGCTGCAGCCCCGGGACAGCCAGGCCGGAGATGGAGCCGGGGCCACCAGAGAAGAAAAGGTAGTTGGAGGGGCTGTCCAAGATGTTCCTGGGGGGCTGAGGGCACCCCTCCTCCTGCCGGCCGGGATAGAGTACACAGCGCAGAACGCAGGGCGTGCATCTCCCCCGGCACACGGCTGGTCCAGCCCCGATGCGCTGACCCTTCACCCATGAGGGCCTCGCGCCTGTCATGTGACCGCGCGGACCTTCGGGGTACACCGTGGGGCGTCCCCGCGGCCGGGTGGGTCAGTGCTTTGCTTGTCCGCCCTAAGGCAGGTTTTACTCCACTTGTCTGCCAACATGAAGAAAGGACAGGGCTGAAAAATCATGGTTTGGGAACCGTGAAACTGACCTCAGGATTCCTTAGCAAAGTAAGTAATGATGTGTGGGAAGCTGTTCCTAAAA